ATAATAGATGGGTTTTTCACTCATAGTTGAAGCTTTCATACATTAAGAGCTCCCAACACTGGAGTGAAAACCTCTCCATTCCCTGATGGCAGTGAGGGGCAGGTGAGATGGAAAAGAAGAGCATGTGAAGATGAAAACAAACACAGTGGACAAACAGTCTTGTCCGTTTGTAACAAACACCTTCATCGTGATGTGAAGGCCACTGGTCCTCAGAGCCTGATGCCCTCAGGGGTCTGTCTCTTGCCCTGAAGTCTCTGACCGTGTCTCCCAACCCGGCCAGAACTGGCAAACAAGCACAGGGTGTCTGATCCACAGAGTTCACTGGGGGAAGAAGAGAAATTAAGTTAGTGGAAATGTGTGCTGTTCATGTGGTCAGGGGGCAATCTGTGCTCTGTTGGCTCCAGGGTACCAAGTGACTGCTGAAAGGTTACTGATGTTCTGTCCAGTGATGCCTGGTTTACATAATGTAATGAATAAAAACAGCCACAGTGATAGGTTAGGGTTACTCTGCGAGTAATAAGGACATGAGAATGTCTCTGTGGTCAAGCTCCGAACTCTAGAGCAGACCTGGGAATGTTTGGTCCGTGCTGTAAATCAGCGGTGTCCAGCCCCAGTCCTCGAGAGCCACCGTGCTGCAGCTTTTAGATGCATCCTTGTTCTGACACGCCTGAATCAAATGAATGGCTTGTTATCAGGTGTTTGCCAAACTTGATGGCTGCTGAAGAGGTAATCCAACCATCTGATTTAGCTGTTGGAGTAGGGATGCATCTAAAAGCTGCAGGACAGTAGCTCTCGAGGACTGGAGTTGGAGACTCCTGATGTAAACTCTTGTTTATGTCGGTCAGCCAAGAGTACCAAAAGACCACACTTTCAACAAACGCTGCATTTAGCTAGTCATAAAGTATGTACTTGTTGCTTTTCATGTACTGATTCTTCGTGTTGTCTTTAGGTATCATCCCACAGCTTTTTTCGCGTCTCAACCATCCGGAGGCGTACATCCGACAAAGCATCTGCAGCCTGCTGTGCCGTGTGGCCCAGGACTCCCCACACCTCATCCTCTACCCTGCCATTGTAGGCTCCCTCTCCCTGGGAGGGGAAGCTCAGAATGCAGGTAGGCTTACTTTTCTTTTCTTTCTTGTTGCAGCCATGTTCTCTCCAGCTGTTTAAAGAGTTCTACATTAATATCTCAAATATTTCACTTTGCTTGTTCACTCGGTATTAGTCATATGTGCAAGATATGACTAATACATAAAGTCAGCAAAATAGGAGACTGTATAAAAAATCCTTAGCAGTTAATGCAGTAAATGTGTTGTTACTCCAGATGCATTTGTTTTATTTTGGTGGTATAAATGTGATCTGGCAGGTTACACTTAATATTCTGAAACAAGTCTGCATGGTTTGAAAGAAGTCTCGATGGAAAATGACTTTACACGAGTCTCTGACATCAGACCCTGTGCTCGTTTTTCTGACTTGTCCTCTCGATTGGTTAATTTTGCAAACAGGGAGCAAACTGCCGTCAGCTCTGCCTACCTTCTTGGGGAGCATACAAGGAGAGGACCTAGGTGTGGATGAAGAGGAGCAGCTTGGGAGTGATGAACAAGGCAGATCATCAGAAGAGCTGGCGACCTGTTCAAGTCAAGACCAAGCCATGATGCAGGACTGTTACAGCAAGATTGTGGAGAAGCTGTCTTTAGCCAACCCTAGCATGGTGCTGCAGGTAGAAGGCTGACCGCGGTTACACGTTTTGTATGGGGGGGGCTATACTGTTTATACTTGAATCAACTACAGCTAAAGTTCAGTTAAAAAAATGTGATGTTCTCAAATGATTGACTTGTGTGTGCCGACCAGGTCCAGCAGCTGGTGGGTGAGCTGCGCAGAGTCACGTTGCTGTGGGATGAACTGTGGCTAGGTGTGTTACAACAGCAGCACATGCACGTCCTACGCAAGATACAGCAGCTGGAGGATGAGGTCAAGAGAGTGCAGAACAATAACACACTGCGCAGGTGAGACTTGCTTTGACCTTAGCCTCAGGATAGGGTCTGCTTTTTTCTGTGTACATCGTTGTTTGAAAAAACATCTCAAATCAAAGCAAACCGCTGCTGGCCCAACAGTTCATGTAGTGCCATGGAGCCAACAATAAGCAAAGGTCTCACTATGGAAAGTGCTTTCTTGAGTGACCAGAAATAGACCCACTAATACCGAATGGCTGTGGCTCAGGAGGGGTTTTCTACCAGTTGGAAGGTTGGTGCCCAGTCTGTCCACCTCAGTGTCAGAGTGTGCTTGTAGTAAAAAGCACTTTGAATGTTCAGAGTAGAACAATGCTGCTACCATACACCACTTAGACGTCCTTCCTAACTCCTCGTGACCCAAAACAGATTCTGGAACCTTCAGACTTTAATCTGTTTTAGGAAGCATTTCAGGTCCAAAACACGATCTTTCAAACCTTGGTTGATATCACACAGATGGTACGCTCCTAGATGTCCTCAGCACCTTGAATTAAGAATGGTGATGTAACACACCAGTGCACAACTAGTCCGCTCATCCCGCATCGGTTTGTAGATGTGCACTAGTCGTTACTGGACCTTGCAGGTTATGGTTGCACTGGTTAGTTGTAAGCTGTACTTTCTTTACGTTTCTCTCGTATTTCCCTAACTGAGTCATCCACGTCAAAGGTAAGAACATCTGAACTCCACCCTCTTCTGCTAAAACTCTGGACTCCATTAACAGTCCATGTCCTGTAGTTGCTTCAATGCTCCCGGTCTCATCTGTTGTGGAACCTGTAGAACTTTAATCATTTGTTACTGGTGGTTTAAAAGTTCAGCGATGACATGATGAAAACCAGCCTGTGGAAAAGCTATTACCCCTCAGCTGTAAAAGGCTGATTTGGGGTACTGTCGTCACCCCGCTGGGCGAGCAGCGTGGGAGATCTCAGGAGGCTGAGGGCTGGTGCTGGCAGTCACCAGTCAGTTGCTGATCTGTCTTTTTCTGTGTTCAATGAAAAGTAAAGTTCTTATTGGGCTTGTCTGATCTCCCAATACCATTTGTTGATCTGCAGGGATGAAAAGATCGCCATAATGCGTGAAAAGCACTCCGCTCTGATGCGTCCCGTGGTTTTTGCCCTGGATCATGTGTGCAGCATCACAGCAGCTCCGGCAGAGACGCCGCATGAATCCTGGTTTCAGCAGACCTACGGTGATGCCATCACGTCTGCCCTGGAGCGTCTAAGAAACCCCGTAAACCCAGCTAATCCAGCCAGTAGCTGGCTTCCCTTCAAACAGGTATGATGTGCTTTGTGTTAGTGATGACCATGGTTTTATTTTCAAATTATTCAAGTTCTGTAAGCTGCAGGGATAGCAATGGGAGCAGAAACTGATGAACAGTGTGTGACAACAGGTTCACTGAACAGGCGACAACAAGACAACCCTTAAAAATGCAGTGGTGGTGGTTGCTTACCTTATCCTGCTCACTGACTTTAGCTCGGTTTTGTGTTGTTAGTGTCACTGCTGATAGTGACGTGTCGTCCCACCTGCTGCACGTTCGGGACAGCATGTCATCGTAAGAAGGCTTTGCTTTGTCTCCCAGCCAAGTCTCAGGACTGTGGAAGCCAAGAGGTGGACTGTTAAACCAGGAAACTCAAACAGGCCAATAAAAAGGTTTTAACCCAGGGCCTGGTATTTGCTCCTTTGTTAGAGGGGGGCTGAGAGTAGTACTGCCAGAGCCCTGCAGCATGACATACCAACCAGTGGGCTACAGGTACCGTTTCTGATCAGGTGGAATGGCCTCACATCCTTCAGTGGAATCTGTTCACAGCAGAAACACCAGAACTTGCGACCCCACCACAGGTGCAGTGTTCCCTTCATGGACGGGAGCACCTGTGACAGAGTGTGGTAACAGCGTATGCTGCTTGCAGCTTAGTAAAATCATTTCCTCATTGCCTTTGGGGCGATCGTGTCTCAAGAGTTGGGAGTTCGCCTTGTAATCAGAAGGTTGCCGGTTCGAGCCCCGGCTTGGACAGTCTCGGTCGTTGTGTCCTTGGGCGAGACACTTCACCCGTTGCCTACTGGTGGTGGTCAGAGGGCCTGGTGGCGCCAGTGTCCGGCAGCCTCGCCTCTGTCAGTGCGCCCCAGGGTGGCTGTGGCTACAATGTAGCTGTCATCACCAGTGGGTGGATGTGTGTGTGACTGGGTGAATGTGTGTGTGAGTGGGTGGATGACTGGATGTGTAAAGCGCTTTGAGGTCCTTAGGGACTAGTAAAGCGCTATATAAATACAGGCCATTTACCATTTGTCAACCTGGTGCTGGTGCAGAGGGCCCTGGTCTCCTCCTGGTCCAGGACTGTGCAGCTCACATGGCCATTGTGTCTGTGACGTTCCTGGAAGATGAAGGCGTTGATGTTCCCCAGGTCTGAGTCCAACTGAGAACCTGTGGGCCATCAGTGCGTCTGACTCTGCCAAAAAGCACCGCTGCCCCCGAGCTCGCTGATGTCCTGGTTCAGGTCTGGAAGGAGAGCCCACTCAGTCTGCACATTCAGTTTTCACTTTCAACTACGTGTGATTTCAAATCCAGCTCCCAAACGGTTGATGGTCCACCGAGTGTCATTTTGTCCTTAGCAAACTGTGTATTTGTGTGCAGTGTGTGTTAAATATACACAGGAATTGTTTCCCCAGCACCTGTGAAGATGTACCCGTGTATGTAATCTGTTATGTTGAGATGCATCACTTCCACAGATGTAGGATCCTTGATATTTCCATAGTTTTATATTGTGTAGCTGTTCCAAACCTGACTGATGTGCTGTCTGTGTTGGACAGATCATGATGAGCCTGCAGCAGCGTGCTCAGAAGAGAACCAGCTATCTGCTGCATCTGGACGAGATTAGTCCCCGCCTGGTTTCCATGACTACAACAGAGATTGCTCTACCTGGCGAGGCATCGGCATTAGATGCAGTGACCATACAGAGTGTAGGGAACACCATCACTATACTGCCAACCAAGACCAAGCCAAAGAAACTGTTCTTCCTGGGCTCAGATGGACACAACTACCCGTACCTCTTTAAAGGTGGGGAAACTCGGTCGCAGCAGCAGTCGTAGATGGAAACAGTCTTCCAAAGCTGCAGGGAACAGGAAACGTAAAAACTGCATTAGCATTCAGTTGGTAATATTGACATATTGTGTTCTGTGAACAACTGAAGCCTGGCTTTTCTCATTTTTGTTGATTTTCAGTGGGCAGAGGAGTGCTTTGAAACATAAAGTAATGTTAGTAAAGCCATTAGAACATGAAGTATGAGAGAGGCACATCGACCCGTTGAGTCTGTAGGTTCTGAGAACATCTTCTGTGTTTGACGCAGTTTGAATACAAGCTGTGTGACTAAACAGGACAAATGAATATTCCCCAGCTGGCTGCTGGAGGTGGGGCCAGTTGTAAGGTGAAGCTGGTCATAAAGATGGCGGTACTCCACAAAACGTGGCAGTTGCCATGGTCACCCACAATTTGCATGGAAGACTTGTATCTGCAACGTTGTAGCGAAATAGTGACGATGGTATTCCAACCAAAAGGTGTTTCCTGTAGCAGTGAGGCGCAGCTTTTACTTTGAAGGCGAAGGTTCTGTTTCCAGTTTTTATTGTACTTTGTTTTGCTAACAGTCGATAGTTAGCAAATAAGTCGTGACTGTGGCAGCCACAAGGTTTTTGGTGTCGCTAATTTTAACTAGTGACAACCAGCAGCAACAAGTGCTAACCAAAGGTTGGGTAATGCAGCCTTTGATTTATATATTTGCCAGTTGGTCCCCACGCCTGCGTGACAGATGCCGAATTTTATTTTTAACAAATGGGGTCCAAGCACTTTGAGACAGGGTCCTCCCAAGAGCACCTTTGACACTTGGCATGATAGTGATTGTTATTATAAAAAGGTCTGTAAGAAATCCAATTCTTTTTATTTTCATAGATATTTTGTTTGTTTCATCATTCGACCAGCTGACCCGATGTTAGGCTCTCTAGTTGCTTGTTTCCTGCGTCACATTCAACGTACATCATCTGTGTGTGAACTCGGGGTCGCCCAGATTTGTATCCACGATTGAGTTTTTTCGAGTCAGCACGTACATGTGAAATACAGAACGTGAAAAAGAAACGCAGACCTGACAGAAGCTGGGGGTGAGTTGAGAGTAGCACAAACGTTTTCTGTGGGTGTTCATACTAAATCGTTTGTACAGTGTCATTTTACCAAGACAAAGTCGTCATTAAAAAGCTTTTATGTGAACCGCTAATGATCCCTCTGAGCTCGCGAGCTGTGAGTTGTGCGTAGAAAGCAAAGGGAAAAATGTCAAAGTTTCCTTTGTGATGAAATAGTGACTGAAGTTTCTCTCAGGTCTGGAGGATTTGCATTTGGATGAGCGCATCATGCAGTTCTTGTCAATTGTCAACACCATGTTCACCAAGATCAATCAGCAGGAGCAACCACACTTCCATGCCCGACACTATTCTGTCACGCCGCTTGGAACTCGTTCAGGGCTGATCCAGTGGGTGGACGGTGCCACGCCCCTCTTTGGCCTCTACAAACGCTGGCAGCAGAGGGAGGCTGTGCAGCAGGCTCAGAAGGTAGAGGTTTGTCTGCACTGTAACACACGGCTTTAACACTGGTCAGGCGGCGAGCGCTTTCTGGTTTCGGGCCCGTATTACTGGTTAGTGACGTGACTTTGTTTTCTGAGCAGGCCCAGGACTCCTTCCCACAGCAGCCTATACCTCCAGTGCCCCGCCCCAGTGAACTGTACTACAGTCGCATCGGGCCGGCTCTAAAGGCAGTGGGGCTGAGTGTGGATGTGACACGGAGAGACTGGCCTCTCAGCGTTATGAAGGAGGTTCTGAAAGAGTTGATGGAAGCAACGCCGTCCAACCTTCTGTCCAAGGAGCTCTGGTGTTCCTGCACCACGCCGAGCGAGTGGTGGAGGGTCACTCAGGTAGCGAGGAGATGCATTCAAAGCGTTTCTCACCTTCTTCCCTGTCTCCTGTTTCAGAAAAGGACAGATGCTCAGAAATGTAATCCAGATGTTTCTTTGTTTCCTTTTCTCTGTCTGCAGTCCTACGCCCGATCTACTGCTGTCATGTCAATGGTGGGATACATTATTGGCCTTGGCGACCGTCACCTTGACAACGTTTTGATTGACATGACCACTGGAGAGGTGGTGCACATCGACTACAACGTATGCTTTGAAAAAGGTGCGTTTAACTGTGTTGCTGCGAGAATAGTTTAGAACCACATTTATTAAAAGGTAGAAAACAATTGTGCTGCATGTGATAGAAGCAAAGGGACAGAGGTGAACACCACTCACACACAGTGCTCACCACAGCTGGTCAGCCTGCTCTGTGCAGATATAATAAAGCTCTTTTCCTCCACAGTCCCCATAATATGATCAGACTCAAAGCTCTTTATCACACACTGAGATGTTGGAGGAAACCCAGCTGAGGGGTTATTTTTGGCTGCTAGCGTGGAACAGTATCGATTTTCCATGTAGTGGGTGACCTGCTCGTTTTCCTGGGTGCACAGTATCTAAGTGTGTGTGTGTTGCCAGGGAAAAGCCTGCGAGTGCCAGAGAAGGTCCCATTCAGGATGACCCACAACATCGAGATGGCTCTGGGAGTCACTGGGGTGGAGGGCATCTTCAGGCTGTCCTGTGAACAGGTTACTCTCACATCACACTGCATATAAAACCATTTATACGGGCGTTAACTCAACCCATCTGTGAAAGGGTATCTAAAACACACCCGTCTATGTTATCATCAGTAGCATTTCTCACACACCTTGTAACAGATTGGACTAATTTCACGTAGCATAGTCGCAGTGTGCCCCGTGGCAGGTACACCATACCACCGCCCACCTCTGCTGTTAGAATGAGGATCTTCATCTCTTGCTGCTGATGAAGCGAGAGCCAAGTTCAAAGTGTTCAATATGTTGGAGCTTATAAAATGAACACATGAGCCTGAGATGACTGTTTCCCTGAGGGTCACGATTGGAAAGTATTCCCACTGGGCTGTAATTGATAAATATTGAGACGAGTGGCTTTTTTTGCACAGTTTAGAATAATGAAGGTAAAATGAACCAGTAGATGGAGTGGCAGTTTGTTTCTACAGTTTGCTGCAGCTTACAGGCTGTTTGTTAGAGGGATGTAGCCAGTGCACGTTTTGTACCTCGGGATATTTCCCATGCACTGAAACATGGAGATGTTAGAGCTGTCGGCTATTGTGACAGGATGGAAGTCAAAATACACGTGGGGGAAAAAACCAAGTGGGATGTGTGTTTCTAGGTGGTTCAGATAATGCGACGAGGCAGAGAGACCTTACTGACCCTGCTGGAGGCCTTCGTGTACGACCCTCTGGTGGACTGGACCGCGGGGGGAGAGGTAGGATTTGCTGGTGCAGTGTACGGAGGGGGAGGCCAACAGGCTGACAGCAAAAAGAGCAAGCGGGACATGGAGAGAGACATCACGCGCTCTCTCTTCTCCTCCAGGGTGGCTGAGATCAAGGTGAGTTCACAGATGTCAAATAATCCTACAGCACCTTATCAGATATCCAGTCGATTCTGTGGTGGTGTCTCAGGTTGCCATGGTTGCAGCCGTTTCTTTAATTGCAGTTGTCAATGTTGCTTCACTTTGTCTGGCAGTGAGAACAATAAATAGGGGAGAAAGTTAAATAAGGACTGCGTTACAGTGTAAAGGAGAATTTTAGTGGCTTTTATCTGTCATTCAGGTTCATCCACCGCTGACTACAGTTATTGCTCTTACAGCTCACGTTGTCTAAATAGGCAGGAGTAGGGTTGGCTTTGTTTTTAACAACCCTGCAGGCTGTAGAATGAATCCTTTCCTGCATTTCATATTTTTAATGTGCTATTGTTCTGTGTGGGCCTCATGCAGGTGAACTGGTTTAAGAATCGTGACGAAATGCTAGCGGTCCTACCACAAGTAGAAGAAGCCGTAGAAGAGTACTTGGTCCTGCAGGAGCTTCTCTGCCAAGGAGAGAAACGCCAAGCTAAACTACAAGAGGAGAGCGCCTTCTTAGAGGGAGCAGAGAACCACCCTGACCACGACATCTTCACCCTGGAGCAAAGGTCAGACACAGCACACTGTTCATGTTCTTTCAAATGCATGCCAAAAGGTGCATTTAAGGATATACGTTTGAAAGACTGAAAGGTACGTCCGGTGGATTCATTGACGTTTGTAACATGTTTGGATATTTGATCGTCTTTTAAACAGTCACTACAGACAACAAAATAAGGAAATGTGGCTTTTAAATTATTCATTAATAGATAAAGTTGGGTGATGTTGTTGCTTGGAAACTTTGTGGTCACACTTATAGCATAAGATACGCTTTATTACACACACACTCGAGTTAAGTATTCAACAGTTACCACACATGAGACCACTCTTAGGGGTGTTCTCCTGGTGCAGGCGGGACGGTTGTATCAGGAAGCAGATCTGTAACAGACGAGCTCGGTGAACACAAATCAGCTGAATGTTTGGAGGCGGAGCCCAGAGGATGGGGTCGTAAAGCGATTGGTCACTTTGAATAGATGATCATAGTTATATAAACAGTCATACTGTGGCAACAACAGAAAAACTATTTGAAACTTTATTTACAATTTGAAAGTGTGCAGAGTGAATTATCAGCAGTTTGCTGTGTAGCAGTGCAGATGCTGATTATTTACTGCTGAGGAAATATTTGAAACTGGAGATTTCTGAACTGCACTGCTCCGACCATTCAAACTCAGCTGATCCGTGCGAGCAGGGTTTCAGTCCGAGAAACGGAGAGCTGGTGGCGAGAATGTGAAACTGCAGCCGCGTGTGCGATGGCTTCTTTGTGCGCACGCCTGCCGAGTGCTACGTGCAGGAAATTTAATAGCAGCGCTGGAATGGATGAGATCAGGACGATAACAGAAAGACTGTATCCACAAACATCATCGCCTCATTCTGAACTCTTACTCACCCAGCCCTCCTGCTCACAGGTACTCTGAACATACCCAGCTGCAGTCACGACAGCGGACCGTGCAGGAGGCCATTCAGGGCAAACTGACTGAACTAGACCAGTGGATCTCCCAGTACCAGGCAGCATTCTCCAGCCTGGAGGCCACACAGCTCGCCAGCCTGCTGCAGGACATCAGCAGTCCTATCGATCTTGGTCAGTGTCTGTGTAAAATACTCTCCTCAGGTTTCTGAATATTGTGTATTTCAA